ATACATGTAAACAAATATGTGAAAAATGGACATAAATATAACATTTCTACATGAATATACACATATGTATGCATATTTAAGTATATATTTGACAACATATATTCACACCTGATGAGCAGGCGCCGCCTTCTTCGACATTGCCGCAAGGTCTTTAGCCACCTGTGCAATCTTTCGCGCAGAATCTGTAGATGTTGAGAATATGCAGAAACTCAGAGACTTAGACACACTTGTATAAATATCGTCATTATATATAATCTCGTCATTATATTTAATCCCGTCATTATATAAAATTTTATATATAGTTGAGATCTGTAGATGTTGGGCATGTGTAGAAACTCAGAGACTTAGACATAATTATTTATTTTTATATACACAGTTGTATAAATATCCACATTGTATATAATATCGTTATTATATGTAATATCGGCAATATATGTAATATCGAGAAAGCCACAAATGGCGCCAGAGTGGGCTGTATGCGTACTCTCGTAGTACAGATACATTTACTATACACAATCAGATAGGTCTGCATAAACTATACACACTATACACACTCTCACCTATGAATACATTCACTATACACAACCAGATAGATATACATAAACTATACACACTCACCTATGAATACATTCACTATATAAGTATACAGAAACTATACACACTCACCTATGAATACCTTCACTTTATATAACCAGATAAGTGCACATCCACGATATACCTACCTAACATAGTGTCGCGCTGTTTCTCGACCTCCACCTCAGCAGCCTTCTGTCTAGCTTCCATGAGCTTCGCTTGCTGCGCTTCAGTGGCATCTAGCACATCTAGTACCGACCCAATAGCCTTAATTACATCCTACATATCATATCATATAATAGTATATACATGATTAGAACTCACTCAATTGCCTTAAAAACATCCTATATAGCATATCATATAACAGTATATACATAACTAGCACTCACTCAATAGTCTTAAATACCTACATATCATATCATATAATAGTATAAACATTATTAGCACCCACTCAATAGCCTTAATAACATCCTACATATCATATCATATAACAGTATATACATAATTAGCCCTCACTCAATAGCGTTAAAAGCATCCTACATATCATATCATATAACAGTATATATATAACTAGCACTCACTCAATAGCCTTAAAAACATCATATCATAATTTTACGTACAAAATTGGCAGCCACTCAATAGCCTTAAAATTATCCTAAATATCATATCATATAATTAGCACTCACTCAATAGCCTTAAAAACATCCTATATATCATATCATATAAAGTACTATCACATATACCAACACACATAATGATATATAAAGCTCTATTCTACATACCTACACATATATGTAAATAAAAAGTCTATTATATATACCTACACATACACATATAGATTACTAAGAAATATACATACACAGATACGTATACACAAAGTACTACTATATATATAAAGTATCGTATATTTAAACACATGCCTAAACCGTACCCCATATACAAACCCACTTCGCAATACGTGTCCATACCTTGACCAGAGGTTTTATGGCTGGTTTGGTGACATCCTTGCCCTTGCCAGCTACTTGCCTCAGCTGCTTCAGCAGACTCTCCAAGCCTCCGATCATGCTCATCACGGATTGGAACAGACACTCTCTGTCCGCAGGATCTACAACTGACGACGAGAGGGACTGTACGATACATTGTCAGGTATGGACAATTAAAGAGGAGCAGACAAGAGGGTGAGACTGCATTGTCAGATGGTGAGCGTGTGTTGCAAGGTATAGACAATTAAAGAGGAGCAGACAAGAGGGTGAGGCTGCATTGTCAGGTACGGACAAAGGGAAATGAAGGGGGTGAGTGTTGTTTGTCGTGTGGTATTTGGTGTTATGTATACTAGTTATTGGTGCATATATACCAATAGAACCTCCACATGCACTGAGTGATGGCGATAGTGGTAAAGTAGTGTACAGTAGTTGATGGCCAAGGTCTGGACTGTGGAAGAGACCGAGAACTAGGGGATGTCTCAGTGTTCAGTATCAGCACTCAGAGGGGACTGGTGGAAGACAGGACCACTGCTTATGGGTATAGAAGCTAAGATTAGGAGATGTTCAGTCTCCAGATTCTTGTAATGAGTACATATAGAATTCAGCTATTACATTCTAAACCGTTCGTGAACTAAATAAGTAACTCAATATATACATATATATATAAGACACACATGACTTCCCTGACTATACCTTTGTATCGAGTGCAAGTTCCTGTAGTTTCATAATGGCATCTGTCACAGCCAACTGTAGTTCGGGAAGTGATCCCGAGGCCTTCTGCATCAGCGCCTGTGTTACCATCATGACTTCCTGTGCACGTGAGCGAAGAAGCTCTACACCCCCATCGAAGCCAGCTGGATTTGCCTGTCATATACATGAAATAGGTAAAATAAGTACAGACATTTCTCATATACATGAAATAGGTAGAATAAGTACAGACATTTCTCATTTGCATGAAATAGGTAAATTAAGTAGAGACACTTTTCATATGCATGAAATAGGTAGATTAAGTACAGACACTTCTCATATGCATGAAACAGGTAGAATAAGTACAGACGCTTCTCATATACATGAAATAGGTAGAATAAGTACAGAACTTCTTATCCGTGTGCGTGTACAAAGAATCCCCATTTCAGTGACAACCGCCGGCTGGATAGTGATGCGCCCGCGAGAGTCTCGACTTCTTTCCTGATCTCCAACTACCAGATAGGTCGTCTACAACACTCAACGACTGCCGTGGCCTTCAACTACTAACCAAACATGCATAAACCCTAAAACCCTAAACCCGACTTCCAGCTTCAGCATTCTTTCGTATTTGGGGTTAGCCACACATGGACATTAACATCAATTACAAATAAAAACTTTAAAAACCCCCGTGCCCTGTCCCGCACCTTGAAATCCGGCCGAGAGCGCTGTTTTTTGGCCTCGTTTAGACCTTTGGTGGTTTGAGCCAACTGCCGCAGTGACATGTCGAGTGCCTGCGCAAACATGCCCGTCTGTAGCTGCTGCGCTGCTTGCACTTGCTGTGGATACGATATAGGATACAAATGGCAATTAGGACAAAGTGCGAGTGTGAGTGTATATATA